TGAATGATGAAATAAAACAGATAGAAGAAGAGGCATTGGTGTTAAATGACTATGCTATAAAATTCATTAGGAAGATCGAAAAAGGCCGAAAGAAAAATAAAAATAATTGTGAAACTAGTGATAATAACATTAATAAAAGAGAATAAAATTCACCTGCAGTTATACCATATAAAGAGGGGACACCTGAGACCCTGCGTAGGATTCTAAATAAAGCAGGAATTAGGGTGTCATTTAAACCTACAAACTCACTCAGGGACAAGCTCTGCAGGTTAAAGGACCCAGTTGACCCAATTAGACAAAATAATATAATTTACAAAATACTATGGAATGACTGTGAGGTCGACTACATAGGTCAAACTAGTAGGTCAGGGTAGTCAGATTGTCAGAACATAAGAATTTAGCTAAGGTAAGAATGGTTGACCCAGAGAAGATAAGTAATTTAGGAAAATGCTCGGCAATTGCAATTCATGCATTAACACACAACCACACAAAAGGGTGGGAGAGGGTTAAAATTCTAAAAAGTAATCTAGGTAGGTGGAGAGAGAGGTTGATTACTGAATCCTTGTTCATCGAGTCTACTCCCAACACATGCTTAACTCGTCGTTCCCCAGTCGAGTTCCACTCGAGCGGTGGCTTGGCGCGAGATGTCATTCGACGATCTCCTTGGCGTGTGTCCCATCCATCTTTATTTCCTGGCCAATAGATTCTTCGATGATTCGCCAGAGTATTTTGCTTCAAAGTATTTCTGGTTGGACACCTGATGTTCACTATGAACCAATGTGGGCGGTTAATGATACAAGTCTGCAGTAGATAGTTGGAAATGCTTTTCAAGATGCGCTCTCCAACTTTCTGATCCATATAGATGAACTGACATAACATTACCGTTGAAAACTGCAAGCGGTTTTGTGTTTATGCTGAGTGAAGAAGATTTCTAAACCGATATAAGCGTTCCACTACTTGTCAAATTATTTTAATAGTGTTTCAGTAGTAGGCTTGAAATTTAGGATTTTTAAAACTTGTAATAGTAAAAAAAATAGAACAGTTCTAAGAGTTGGATGAACCAATGAAAATTTAGTTCTTAGGTTGATACACGAATACATTAGACTACACACTAGTGATTAAATGAGATAAGGATTTAGAGACTGTTCACATCGACCAGTAGTGGTTACTGTTCGGTCATATCACAGTAATTCAAACCGCCAAACGGTCTATTCACTTGTTTTGGTGGATGAGTTCATCATCAAGGCAAAGTTGTTATACGAAGCAACTGCCCTTCAGAGTAAACTGATAAGAAATGAAATCCAAACACAGACATCATAGGGATGCAGCTGAATTTAATTCTGATGAGTGCTGAAAGACACGAAATTGAATGAAGTCGGTTATTTATTGGAGAATGTTCTGGTTGCTTTTAACAGATGATAATTAGTGCGTAACGATTAAGATGGCTCTCTATGTTGTTAGGAAAAATGCTAATAATGTTTCCGAGATAGTAAGCATATTTTTACCTATGTCATGCCCATCAGATACAAGACAGTCAAGAATTGTTCATTATTATTATTAGTCCTTTGAGTTTCGAGTGAAGCATATGGCTTCAACATCACATCTACACTTCGTCCTATCTTCTGCTGTCTTCTTCAGCTTGGACCATGATTGCCCACAATCTCTTATCTCCTCCTCGTATGATCTTCTTCATGTTACCCTAGGACGACCCACTCGTTGCTTCCCATTGGGATTCCACCTAAGGGCCTGGTGTGCGATATCATTTGATGGTTTACTCAATGTATGCCTGATCCATCTCCATTTCCTCCTGAATGTTTGTTGAGCAGTCGGTTCTTGGTTGGTTTATTCTCACAGTTTCTTGTTACTTATTCTTTCTGGCCATTTAATCTTCAGTATGCAGCGAAAAGCTATTCAACGTTACATTTATTCAAGAAATCGTATTTAAAGACAATTTATCTTTCATATCTGACGTTAAAGCTTGTGAAAGTCTCTTTCTACACAAATTCAGTTTAGTATTTATGTTTTAGAAAATATACCTTCTCTTCAAATTTTTATTCCACAGGTAATATTAGACAGTTAGAGACAGTCGGTGAGAAGCCCTGGTTTGAGGTATTGAGCTTGTCGGCACTCGTCAGCTAGAACCCATATCCTCTCTGAAATTCAAATCCAGTGTCATCCAGTTCTGCAGTCGAAAACAGCACCATTGAGTTCTTAGAATTCCTATAAGACTCTAAATAATACTTCTATTGATCGCTAGGTAGTAACTAGTTTGCAGTGTGGTGACCAAATTATGTAGCTCATCATCTAGACGCATTCTGAAATAGTATTACATATTTTCAGGCAACTGGAAGAATGCTTATTGGCAGTCATCAGCATCGCCTATCTGTGTCCTTGAATGAGCTCATACCTCCTTTGAGATTTGAACCTGCATCACCCAATCAGGTGTAGAGACATCTAGCTTTGTATGCATATCGGAAACTTGACTGGCAGAATTCAATCTGCATCAAACCAAGGACGAGATGCAAAGCATGTCAACAGATAAACAATGAATTATTCTTTATTGATGATACAAGCAACCAAAGTTAGTCAGGAAATAAACCAATCAAAATTGGCCCTCATCTTCGTTAGAAAACGCCCACTATTTTATTGGTAATGGTTATGGTCTGTTTAACATATTCTTGATGACTTTTTAAATCATAAATAATTGTGTAAAATACAGTGTGTCTGATACTTAAAACATACTTTTCGGGGGACGTCTTTGTGTGTTCTCGCTTAAGTAGAACAGGCTGGAGAAGCGTATGACTGTTATGTGAATGTTCTTGGCGTAGCTGAGCGATACTCGTGCTTAGAGCATCTTTTTCCAAATGGGTATCCCTATTTCAAACTAATTATTGCAGTCAAAACATAATGATCAGTGACAATCTAATGACCAATCAACATAAATATTTTATTTCTAGAAGCGAAAATTTCATCCAGCTCACCTACTCACGAATTCTATCTATTGCGCACAAATTAGCCGACTTATTTGACTAATTAATCCTGAAGAAAGCAAATCATCCGTTTCAGACTCAAGCACACCCAAATCTACCATGTTAACCAAATTAATTCAGTTCCACAAAAAGATCACTAATATGAGATGACTGAATAAAAATGACAAAAAGTCATTTCTGTTATCCCAGACTTTTCGCATCTAAATATTTTTCAATGTGACGTATTTTAACACTTGAAAAAGCACCATTTTATCTAATTAGAACCAGAATTGTATAGTCTGGTAGTTGGAATAGTAGTTATTGACTTATCCGGGATTAAAAAAGTATACAACATTGTTTTACTGGCAGCTAACCATGTTGTTAATGTTTAGTCCTAGTTTGGGACGCGGAGCTCAAACCGAAGACCTTCTGGTTACAAGGCGAGCTAGCCCGTAGACCATTAAGTCACTGGGACCAGATCTAATGTCCCATGAATTCTGACTTCTGCCGATTCATTTAAGTGAAGTCAAACTTGTGATAGTGCCATGAAATTGATATACTTGACTGCCGCAGTACACTTCTGTTTAGCCCAAGATAGTCCCTCTCTTTTTGTACTTTTAATTGAAGAGGCAGCGTTCTAGTACCAACGTCCACTACATTTACTGTTTGTATTTCGTTGTGCTAAACAAGAAAGTCCGGATTTCTTTCTAAGTAAACTAGGAAATGGACCTCAGAACAATCTTATGAGAAAAGTTTCATTTTATTGCCTGTATGTAGATGACAACTTTACTCTTTGTGACAATTATTTAGACAGGATCACAATCTACTATGAAATTCATGTGTGAAGAGGAATCCCAAAATAGAATTAATTGCCTTCCTAAATATCCGTCCTCCATACAAGAAAACCACATGGTAGTATTAAGAGAAATTTGCATAGGAATAGCACATGAATAGGACACTATACACATTCTCATAACTTCGTTCCTCTCCAATGAAACAGAAATTTAGTAAAGACCCTCAGTCGTAGGGTTAAAGCTGTATGCTCGGAAGAAGTAACTGAAGATGAACTAAGGCTTGTGTATGATGCCTTGATTGAAAATAACAGTCCATAAAAGTTCACCAAGAAACACATGACCAAGAAAGCAGAAAAAGACTATTCACTATCGGTGAACAAGACGCTTTTATGTAAACGACTGCAATTCAAGGACGAAATACCTAGTGAGATAATTACAATGAAGTTAGGAAAATCTGTTGAAAGGACGTTTTATGCAGGCAAACTACAAGTGATGGTGATTCCTCGATTGAACGATGAAGTACTGAGACTAGCTGGCCACTTCTAATTGTGTCTACCAATTCAACTGTGGTTGTGGACCGAGTTAAATTGACCGTTGCTGTAGGAACTTGATTTTCGTGCTCTGGAATATCTACCAGTATGGCTAAACAAAGGTTTAGTTAAAACCACCAACAGTTAGATATTAGAACACCTGGTTGAAACCGGTCACAAAAGTAATATTGAAGAGTCCTTCTCCATCATCTATCGGATACCAAATAAATTACCAAAAACGCTCAGGTACTGCATACTCCAAACAACAGAGGCTATCGTGATTCGCCTGAAACAACCAGTGCTCTGTGTGCAGAAAAATCACGTCCAGCTAACCCCTACTACTGACCTGGCCAGCCTTCAGTGGAGACTATAAATTCATGAATTTGAGTTATTATTTTTCCTAATATTTCTTACATTCAGTGTACTGTTATGTTGATGCTATTGAACTGTAATCTGTTTATATTATTGATTTGTTGTTATTAATAACACTAATTCACTCACTCTTGTGTATCTATAACTGTTGAGCCTGATGAAGAATGGGTTATCGATAATAATGAATAAAGTATAGATGTTGTAAAAAGAAATCATCTGCGGATTCAACAAAGCCATGCAACAATGAAATGGTTTTCTTTAGTTATTTTTTAAATCTCATCTTACTGATATAAAAATATAAAGCATAAATAATATGAAGACATTAAAAAACTTACGTGTTTTACACGTGATACCATCATCTTCTTGTATTGAATAATAACCTGATTTACAGAAACACTCATTCTTTTCTGTTGAACAAAAACTGTTCTGAACACGCTGTGTGCAGAATGAATCACCTTCAGGTAGACAAGATCCTGAAATAAACATGAAAGGATGCGATTAGAATGAACATAATTTAATCGTTAGTTGAAAAGACTGACTAATGAACACGGAATATTCGAACTTTCAATAACCTCTTCTTCATCAGGTATAATAATTACTAACAACAACAGTGATGTTGTTTTAAATTACATTGAATCAGCAGTATTGACAGATGACATTTCAAAAGCATCAGAAACAGATAATACGTATCGATATAAAACTAAACTAAATATCAAGTAAATAAAAGGAGGTAACGCAGAACTAGTGAATCTATAGGCCTGATTGAGGTTCACATTAGCATTAGTGACTGGGCCTGTTACTTTCGCACACAGAACTCCAGTTGATTTAGGTGAATAGCAATGGTCTCTTCTTTTGTAAGTCTTTGGTATTTAAGGATCTTTGGTAATTTATTAGATACCCAAAAAATGGTGGTGTAGAAAGATTCTTCATTGCCAGGTTTGTGGTCTGTTTGCACAAAGGGGTCCAGTACAGAATCACTAACGATTTTGACAACATCTTTATATAAATATACTGGTAAGTGTTCCCAAGCATAAAAAAATTCGATTCCTAAAGCAACGGGCTTTGTTACTACCTTCACAGAAGTAGCTGAATTGATAGATACAGTTGGGGGTGGCTGGCCCAGTTACTTCTTTCAGTTTTGGAATCACTTTCAGTTGCGTAGAAAACATGACGGGCAGCTCACCGGCACTGAACGTTCCTTGGATAGACTTTCTCAACTTGGTTTATTCCCTGTGAATTGTAGTCATGTATAATATAGAGGCTTCCTCTTGACAGACACTGCGGAATTCTTTTCTGCTTTTAACCATGTGTTTAGTGATGCTGTTATTAATAATAATATTTTTTAAATTATTTTTGATAAAATAAATGTGGAAACTAATGACGAATTAAACGAAAAGAACATTCTTTATTCAGTAATCAGTCTTTAAATTATGTATGAGTATACTCAATCAACTAATCACTCGTCTGTTTTCCTGTGGTAGTCGATGCTTTGGCCGTAGAATGCTTGTCAACCATGCTGCCTGGCACACACCTTTTCCTCCTCAAGCAGGCTGCAAGCCCGACAAAGAGAGAAGGCTGAGTGTGAGGTTAGCAGCCATACCCCTTGGAAGATAGCACCACTGCCACTGAGACTTCAAACCTGGAGCTTGAGACCCTATGTTCTGCTCTGAACGCAAACGAACAAAATAGTTATTACGATGAATCAAACTACTGTGTGCAACTAGACTACTGATATCACTTAAGTACTATGGGCTCTCTCTCTCTTTCTTCCACTCTCTCCTGTAGACAAATGGTTCACTGTTGTAACTGATGGTGAGGAAAAAATTTTAGATCAACCAAGAAAATTACTTTTTGTCATACTAGCGCGTGAATTAAAATGACTGATAACTTGGGAAACAGTCCTCAGAATTATTAATCATAGGTGAAACTTTGCAAATTTATGATTACAACTATGAGAAGTCAATAGTAAAGGATGTCAGTGTATCAGAAAGGCACAAGTGCTATGAAATACTCATTTCTTGTTCGAATGATGCAAAGGTAAAGGCGGTAAGGGAAGCTAGGATTTTGGAAGGAAAGTGAAGAAGAAAGGATATGTTTCAAGAAGCCGAAGGGTCAGTAATCATTCGACTGACGTAAGGACAATTTATGGATGAGATTTTTTTTGATAAAGTCACACAGTGTTATACAGTAATATTTACCGATAACCACGTTTCCAGCACAAATTATTACTACTCACAATCACATCGAGGCACTACTCAGACAACTTTTTGCTTCATTTATATACATGAGTAGAAACTGACGATTAGACATTTGAATAAAATCAATTTAGGATAAAGTACATTCAGAAATAATATTAGTGTTATCAATCAAATACAATCAGATAGGAAATAAGCTGTTTGTTACAGCAAAAATAAGTAACTTGTTAGAATGTTATAATGTGAATTGATGGAATACATTTTTGTATTAGATATAATAGAGAAGATTTGTAGCTCAGGTGGATGATTTTGGTGTGGTTGTGTTCTCTGAGCTGGATGGTTTGCTTGCGAAGCTTTCATTGCTCTACTGAGCAACATCTTCAGCGCATACATACATACATACATACATACACCAAAAACATTTTAGTATTATTTATTATTCTCTGATTTGACTGGTGGTAATAATATCTTCCATATCTCTGGTATTTGCATTCAGTCATTTCTGTCGCATTAGGAATTTCAGAAAGGGTCAAAAGCAAAATAAAAATAATGGTGAAACTAATAATTATAACATAATTAAGGAAGAATATAAGGCATCTACAGTAGTTTTACCATATAATGAAGGGACATTTGACACCACACGTAAGATTTTCAATGAAGCAGGAATTAGGGTAGCAGTCAAACCTAGAAACTCACTCAGGTTAAAGGACCCAGTGGACCCAATTAAACAAAATAATATAATTTACAAAATACCTTGCAATGAATGTGAGTAAGGTCAACTAAATGGGTCAAACTCGTCGATCGGGAGTAGTCAGATTGCCTTTCAGAACATAAGAATTTAGCTAAGGTTAGAATGATTGATCGCAAGAAGATAGGTAATTTATATAAAAAACTCATCAATAGCACTGCAAGCATTAACTTTTTCTTTCCTTCCCTAAAGTGTAGTCACTTTCTACTTGACCTGCGACCTCTGTTGAATTTTTGATAGCCGTGAAAAACCTTCGCCTTATTTCTTGATGAGTTCCAAGGGAACTGAGCACACTCTCGTCTCTAAGCCCTTGTCTCATATGATATTAGTTGCTTTAATACCTCTATTCTTCTACCATCTATTTAAGCAAGCATTTACAATATTCACATTTGAACATGATTTATTACGTAATACTATCTATTTTGACTGGTGTTCGTAATTTCTATTCCTCAAACTTTCATAAATAAAATATCTTGGAACGATGGAGATTGTGTTGACGAACATGCAGATATTATCAAGTCAGGATTTAACTTAACCTAAATGCACAATGTTATAAGCTGTTCAAAGCAACATTTGCACAGAAAGAGGAAACGCGAATAGTGAGAGATAAAAACAATAATCGTGAACTACAAATTCACAAGACGCTTTGAAAGCTAGTCGTAGCGTTAATACTAACTCTTCCTTTTTAACTTATTGAAATTTCGTCACATTGGTTGATATTTTTATCCATCTGCACTGTACTAATGTTTATAAAGACCTTTTTTAGCAATGATCTCTTTCATTGTGTGTGGATATACCATTCACATGATTCTGTTAACAACTCCATTTATGTCTAAAATCTTCTCCGAATTTCAGCGCATTCCTATCTTTACATGATTACTTGAACTTCCTGTAAAATTCGCGCATTGCTTTCGTTTTTGACGCTTCATTCTTATTTATTCAGTTAAATTCTTATTAGATCATTGAAAAAAATTAAAACAAGTAATCCAGAGAAGAGACTCTTCAATTAATAAGACGCCAATTAGATTATGTATTTTATAAAATGGTTCATGGAACGGAAAACCTCTTAGATGGGGTTTCAGAAGTGATAAGATTGGTAGGCGACTAAAACATATCTCACCAAGAAAAAAGTATACAGTTAAAGCCAAGAATGTTACATATAGACCCTAAATTCAAAGGTGACATAACTTCCAACATCCTTAAACGAAGTATCTCATAGTCTCTGAATAGGACATTCACTCCAACATAGTTTAGAATAGTTTTATCCAATCAACTGTTACTTAACAATATTCTGAAGGACAAGAACCCGCAGATGACCAGCTTTGTGTGTATTTTCAGTTCACTTGCTTCTATGAAGCTAGGTATATATTGTTTTATCCAAAAGAGTGCAAGAGCACTATCCTGCGTTGTCGCGGAAACTTGGAAGTAGTACTATAAGAAGTGCAATAAATGAACTTCTGTTTAATTCTCGTCACATTATATCCGCAGTCTCTATCTTTAAACTCATCTGTCAAGTAAGAAATAAACTGCTAAAATCATTACTTGTCTGACTAATCTGTATAGCTGACGCTCTGATCAGAGCTCTGTATACAGAAATAGTTTATTCAGTCACTCCTTCTTTTATGGTCTCAATCTGTCTACGTCTGACTACCAGTCACTTAAAGTTGAAATTACGTGACATTCGATGGTTGGGCATTTTATTATTCAGCGTGTGTACAGCAAATGAAGACGCCTTGAAGTAAAATGAACCCATGTTATCCTGCGAAATGTTTTCTGAGTAGGTTTTTTCAAGTTTATCGAAGAAATAAATTCTCTTAACCTCTCCCCATATTAATTGACTGGTCTACAGGCATTCAGTAGATTGTTGAATCTCGAGGTATTACGATAAGTGGATTGTTATGACAGGGTTTTTTTCCCCACCAGATGTGCCTGAGTGTGTTTCGCAACAGCTTCTCTAAACTGGGCAAATTCAAGTTTTAGAATCTATTAGTTATTTTTAAGCGATGAATCAAGAACATCATAAGTCAATATTACTATAGATTTATTGATCTAGTCTCTTTTTAATGATCAGAGCAAACGATGGGGCCGAATCCAATCTTCAGGGAGGAAAGGCAAGTATACCGTGCGTTAGTGTTCCAGTCTAGAATGCTTTCCAGCCACACACGTGGTTTGGAGTTCCACTTCCAGCCAATTCACCCCTAATACCTCAACTAACCGGTACTAAACTCAGGAACGAAAGAAGGGTGGACTTTAAGTCATCAACTCAAGCCCGCAAGAACAACACAAGTACTTCTGAAAGTTCAAAGCTTTAAAAATATTGTGAAGCTCTATCTCTTATTTGGAATGCATAAAGAAATGCATGGAGAATATGGAAGTCGGTAGTCGGATGGTAGATGTTTAGCAGTTTGAACATATTAACTAATTGATATCTATATAGCGAAAATATTCATTCAGACATCTATAAAAAACAAAATAATTGAGCAAACAATATCCTTTTCGATAATTTGCTCTTCTGACTCTATAGTTATAT